CATCTCAATTTTAAAGTTTTAATATTTTGAAAAGAAATTTAAACATTTACTGGTTAGAGACACAAATATTGAAATAATGTTTTCAAGCATTCAGAAATTCTTAAACCGCAACTGCAAGTAAATTTTCATAATTTTCACCTCAGATTTGGTTAGTTCAACATAAATTTCATGGGAAATATCATTTGTATGAGATATTTGAACAATTAATGCCCTAATTTGAGTAATACTATGCTATAATCAAAAACGTTTTTTAGTTATATTGTTTATATTACATGACATACACGCTAGATCTTAGAAACAATATTTATTATTTTATTTATTATAATATAATTTGTATCAGCACAAATTCGGTGGGATACCTGTCCGCCCAAATTAGTAAAAAGCGCCTGGTATTATTTTGTTTTACTATTATTGAAGTAAACATTTAGTATTAGGTTATCTTACCCATAGTATATTGTCTGTTTTTAATTATGCGCCTTTTAAATTGTAAAAATGTGTCTTACTATAAACTAATCAACCAAAAACCAAGACTTTTACTGCAAAAAAAGTGTCAAATGTACATTCATAGGTTAAAATGATTTTCAAATGTTTTAAATTTATAACTTTTTCAATGGTTTTTTAAAGGAGAAATTGATCAGCTATGGATTAAAGCTGTACAATGTTGTCAATATAACTTTAATTGAAAGTAAGATATTTGCTGTTTTAATAATGCAGAATGTAATTAAGTATTTAATCAAAATAAATTCAAATTACGTTCTCAAAAATATTTATTTCCAAGTTTTGATTTGGTTGAATATTACTCTTATGAGGAAACTGAATTTCCATTATCTTAAAATGCTATCAAGGTAATTAATTCAAACTTTTTAAAAAAATGTTGTTAACTTAATATAATTGATTTACTGAAGATAACTTAATTTGTTACAACTTTTGCTCAGTAAAAATCTCTATTTTAGTTACAGAAAATTAAATAGTTACTTTAACAAATTTGAGGAATATAACTTGACAGCTCTAATGAGCGTAGAATATATTGAATATAAAGCAAATAAGTATCCAAAATACAACATTTGAAAATAAGACTGCTACACATTCTTCATCATGGACTAAAAATACAAATAAAAATGCTTAGGAAACTTAAAAAGTATTTAAAAGACAAAAATAAGATTTCTGATATTTATTTGACAATGCTTTAATTTGTTTGAAATTAAGGATTTTAAATATTTTTCAGAACTTTTCTATTATATTGGACATCCTTAGTAAATAACCATCTACTTTAAATTGTTAATTCAATATTGAAAACATACCTTACAAGTAGATTACACCATTTTAACAAGTAAAATAATTTTAAAAAATAATAATAATTTACTTGTGTTGCCCTAAAACCTAAACCAGAGATTCCCAACCTTTTTTGACTCAAGGCATCCTAAAGTATTTTCTAAAAATCTAATAACAACCACAGTATTATAGTAGTATATAGTATATTTTAATTGATATTTTATGACTTCAGTTTTCTTAAAAAGGTATCTATTAAATAGATAAGAGAAATGGCTTTAAAAATTCACTTTTCATATGCATTAAAAATATATTTCTGATATAAGCTATAATTAATATAATTTAGTATAAGCCCTATTTTATAAGCACCTACACATATGAAGGGAGGAGCTTCAGTCCCCATGATCCTCCCTTGTATCAGACTCTGTACACATAAAATATGTTCGCACGTTGGTGAGCCATTGTTGTTGGTGAAAAGTTAAGAAGGTAGTAGAGGAAAAATTGAATGTATATTTGTAAGCAAGAAATAACTATTGCTAACGAAAATACGATTTTAAGCAGAATTCAGTTGATAGTGTTGCTTGATAGAGTAACTCTCCTCTAATCCAAACATAAAAAGTTAAATATCTCGTTAACGGATTGACAGAAATCAAAACTCCATCTATTTATGAAATTTTTAATATAGACTGCTATTAGAAAATCAAAAGTAGGTAGTGATTTTACGCTCCAAAAAGTGGTGACAAAAATAACATAATTATAAAATTATAAAGCCACTTGTTTTTAAATGTTCTAGAAAACAAATTACAGAAATAGTTAATACTTTTTGAGATAATAAGTGTACACACTTGAATGGATCACCTGGTACCTACCCAATTTTATTGATACCTATTGTTTATTATTATTTACAAACTGTTAATTGATTATTTCACTATATATCATATGTATATTATAAATAAATACACTTTTGATATTTTGTTGTATCTAATACAGAAACTCATGAAAGAGAACAGTGATAAAATGAACTACTTAACTACTAATTTATAATTTATGAACATAAAAATGGACTATTTAATTATAGATCATAGTATTATAATAGGAGTATAGTGTAGTATTGATTTTATTATTGTATATAACCAAAATTCACAAGAAAAACCTTGATTATAATAGTGCCAAGAACTAAATTTCTATTGGACTATAAAAATAAACACATTTTCTATTGTTTTACTGAACATATTTTATTTATTTGTTACAATTTTCTTCAATAGCAAAAAAACAATACACACATTTAATGACGTTTTGGGATAAAAAACAATAACCACTTGTTTTACACCATCAACAGAACTTAGATTTTAGAAAAAAAAAACATTGACATAATTGTATTAAATTTAGTATTAATTATTATCTAAGTAAAAATACATAAGCTATATAGGTATTTAATACTCACAAATATTATAATAGGTATAGGAGTATATTATTTTTCAACAAATTTGTATCCACCTTAATTTAAAGCAAAATAATATTATTTGTTTGCTTCAAAAATGGATTATTATAATATAAGTTTATAGATATGTATTTTGTAAAATTAAACCTTATTTTTAATAATTGTATTTAAAATGTATAACAATTATAAATAGTTGTAATAATAATTATACTATTATTCAAAGATATCAATAATAAACAATTCAACATAAATTAATTGTCGTCCTTTTTAGTTTATATCAGAATTATTTAGATTAAATAATTTAAATGGTTATAATATACATAAGTTTAGTGTTATGAAATTATAGCATATGCATATTATTGGTTTTTTAGCTTCTTTTAAAACAATGGACAAGACTATCTTAATGGAGTTAGAGGTATACATAATAATGAACCCTCATTTGATATGACAAAATCCAGATTATTGTGAAGAAACTCCAAATGCGAAATTTCAGCTTTTAAACTGCTTTTACTGTTGGCTAAAAAATCAATAACACCAAAACCATTTAATGGTTACCAAAAACTCCAATAATTTATTCGAAAACAATACAATTGTTTTAAAACGGTTTTTATTTTGTCGAAATACACTTAGTTAGTTTTTGTTTTGTTTTCTATGAGTGAACCGGCGTAAAGCAACTTACGGACACAGTATAGTGTAATCGAAATGAATTTTAGAAAAAAAATAAATACATTTTAATTTGGTTTAATGGTTTTTTAATGTTTTCGGATAAAAATATAAAAATAATTTAATGAACAAGAAAAAATTAATTTTCAGCGTTAGTATTCATTTTACTATTCAAATTGCCTGGGTGTGGATGAAAGCCGTATCCGTCCGAGAACCCCAACACAGCGCAGACGATCGTGAACATACGGTTATCGGCTGTTGGATCGTACTTAAACACGGTTGACTGCAAAAACTCCCGTGGTTTATCGTCTCCGGGGCAGGTAATGTCACACACTATCAACGACCCGTACCAGTTAGGCTCTCGATACTTAATTGTGTCGACCGATCGTATACGCACGACGCACTTTTGTAATTTCGAGCGCTTCGCGAACTTTACAATAGCGTCCGTGCCGAATATCCAGTAATCCGGTCGCTTATTTCGGCTATTTGCGCTGTGACGCAAGATCAGGTACCTGGATTCGTCGTCACAGAACTGTTCCGGAAACAGTTCCCAACTGTCCACACCACAGAAATATTTGGAAGCAAACTTCTTTCCGACATTATCCGGAAAGTGGTCAGACATCGTATTTATCTGATTACCCTCAGAGTCACGTTGTAGCATTGTAGATGGACACCTCAGCCGTTCAATACGATTGGCCAACCAGTAAGTGCTGGACATTCCGCAACTGTTTGACATATTCGTTTTCACGTTTAAGTAAAAATAATAGTAAATCTAATTTTCTTTCAACGAGCAATAATATTGAATATGAATATTTGTAATTTAAGATAATCGATTATACCGGTATAGAACACAACCTGTCACCTGAACAGATATAGGGGTACTGATGAGCGATCGGACATTTAAGAAAATAATGTTAAATATACAATACAATTCCCTATTCATTTACTGCTCATTATTTAGGTGACCGGCTACCTTTTTACCTACTCATACCACTACAGGGTGGTTGTTTTGTCACCAAACATCGATTATAATACGGAAATTTCGTATGAATAAGATTTTGGTTCTTGTTCAGTGACGATATTGGATTAACAATATTTTCAATATTATAATCGTATATTCCGCAGATTCATGAAAAAAAAACCAAATTAAAATAATTTAGTGAAAACCTTCTTTAATATAATAGTTGCAGGTTCGTTATTAAATAATCACTTTGTAGTTTTTAATTGACACAACAAATTGAAACAATATACAATTAATGACCGTAAACAATTATTAACTGGGGTGATGAATATGGGTTACCAAGAGCGTTGAGTATTTGTGGCTAGTCGTGCCAACTTAAAGTAAATACAGGTCGGTCGATTTTTTGGTGATAAGCGAGCAGGTGGTGCTAACGGTGAGAAATATACTTAGTGTGAGTAGTATTTGTTGAAAATATTATTATGAAAAAATAGTACTATGAGTTTTGTAATATATCACACTCCAAAAAGAACAACATATTACAGTATTGCCTTGTTTGCCCGAATATTTTGATACAACTTCGGCGTCACTGTTTTTCGCAGTGTGTGGAAGAATCATATATTTTATAGGATGAAATTTTAAGTATCGGAAAGAAGGTGGGAGTGTGAGGGGGAGATTTATTCGGACGACTACGCATTCGGTTTTTGCAATTGACGCATAAAAAATTGTTCAATAAAATCAATAATTGGTGTGTTATCGCCATGAAGTTGTGATACAAACAATGTACACGGATACGAATAGATAGCGCTCCTATTATATAATTTATGTAACTTCTACTCTCACATTTCACCCATGGTCATACGTACTCTACGCGTCCACCGCTCGTATTCACTCAGCCATAGCTGCTGGTTTTAGCAGTCTCTCCCCGGCTACTGGTTTCCACCCAGTCAAATAAATGACATTTATCAAAATAAATACTTTAACAATCCAATTCTAAATGAATAGGTATTAATATCAACATATTTGAAACAGTTTTCATACATGGAAGTACTTATATCTTTGAGAACAATTTATATCAGTGGTGGGCAAACTTTTTTAATGGGGGGCCACAAAGTTTAAGAAATTTTAAAGGAGGGCCAGAATTATAGAAAAAATGCATTTTGTATTAAAGCTTTGAATCATAATATTATAAAAACATTACAGAATTACACACAAATGTTACAAATTACCTTTTACCTTAAATAATAACAATAAAATAAAACAAATAACTTAAACGAAGAAGTGCAAAAAACTACTTATTAGTTATAAATTTGTATTCAAAATATCTATTAAATTTTAACAGATAGATAGTATATTACGTATTATGCAAATAATGCGTGGTTCGTCGCTATTTATGTATTTATCATTATGATAAATTAGTTTTATCTGTAAATATGAAAATAAATTCATTGACATATATTATCTTATTGTTTGATTTTTTTCTAATAATATTTAATAATTTTCAACATTCTAGTCACTCTAAAATCAATGAAATTCTAAAATTTTAAATGGATAATGATAATGAATAAAATTTTCTTTTTATGAAAATTTAAAATTAACCTAATTGGGAATGATACAGAGATGTGAGTTGATTTCGAGTTAACATTAAAGTTAAAGATTATTTACTCAAAATAAGAAACTAGTAAGTTAAATTAATAAGTTTAAATTAACTAAATTTTTAACTTATTAACTCATTAATGCACAACATTAAAAATTATTATGAAAATAATGTTTATGTAGTGAATGTTAAGTATCACTTATAGTCGTGTCACATATTGTGTAAAAAAATGTATTTTTAAATGGATATAACAAAATATAAATTAATTGATAAACGAGAAAAAAAATATCTCTTGAAATGTACCAAATAATAACCAATAATAAATGTTAAGCAATAATATTCTTAGATTTAATTAAAATTATTCACATCGAATTTTTAAAGTCATCAACGTTGAAGTCAAATTAAAATCATTAAATCATATTTTGTATCACTTTTTAATGTACGGAAAGCATATAAGTGTTTGGTAGAATTAGAAACACCAATTAATTGAGATGATATGCACTCAAACTTGAATTCTAGATTCAGAGCATAGCGAGGAATGTATTGGTTATACAATTTTGTCAAGTAGTTTTCATAATAATATTGGGAAGAACGTGACATAAAAAGATAAGTATTTACGTAACGATTGAATAATTTTACATTTTTGTAACTTATATTTTCTACTAGAAAACTTACGTTAATCAAAAAATGACAAGAGACGGTTTGTGTAGCAATTTAGATTTAGTTGTTCTTAAAGAAAGTCGTTTTTTGTATGATCAAGTTTTTTTAATAATAATTTAAAAAAACCAAAAGTATGAAAAATGAAAACTAAATGACTATAATTCAATTTCGTTTTATCAAAACATGTATAACAAAACTTTGATCCAAATTGATTTTTTAGCAATGGTTTATCGTAACTTACGGATATAATTAAAAGTATTTAATGTATCGTATCTATTCAATTTCTCATCTAAAAAAATTGCACACCAGTATCAGCTGTTTTTTTTTTTTGCCGATTTCGAGACTTAAAATGTGTTAGTTGGTGACTTTATTTAACAGTGAAAATGATTGAGTCGTAATATTGTTGAAATTAACTAATGATCAGCTCACAGAATTTCTCAAAACTGCTGTTATATCAATGCAACCAGATCTTAAGATATACTTCAAAAAAACACCACGTTAATAAATTTAGCTTATCGTTTGTATTGTATTCATCGTTCTTATTTGTTTATAATATTTTTTTTTTATTTATCTATATTCTACAGTTATATTTCTATACAACAAAAACATGTTTAATATAAATGTAAACCAAAAAAATTAAAATTCATAATAATAATAAAACGCAAGATGCATGCGATTATATATGACGCGAACTACAAGTTGACCGCATACGATATACCGGAACACATTCCTAACGAGCAATGTTAATACAATATTAGTATCGTTTATGATAATCTATAAGGTATAATCGGTATATGTATATTTTTTCCAATTATATTTTTACCTGTTCTTAATACGTAGTTATTTGTAAATTGCGTTGTATACATTAAATGTACGTGGCGCCAGTATAACGGTGATTCGGGAAACATATTATTGATATGTGCAACAATAGCTATACAGAAGAGGTAACATTTTAGAGCCGAGGAACCAGTCCCATTATAAATTACATTAGGTATAATAATACGAATTCTATAAAGAATGTCTATTTTTTTCGATTGTTAACCATCGTTATTTGGACGACTCTCATTCCCATAATGGTATTTTTTCTCTTTATCTGACTGACGAACACGACCCTCCGAATAGTCGTTTACTATTACCATATATATTTGAAATGTCACATACGAGGGACGGTCACATACACATACAGGGTGATTCACTAAGGTGCTCACCTCATTTTTTGCGTAAATTTTGCATCGATTCACATTCTGATTATTGGAATTTTCAAGTGTAGTTAAAGCTAATGTTTTCGAATACTTAGATTTTTCACAAAATTTAAGTAGTATCCTGTGATGATACAAACTTAAGTTTTTCTAATGAGAACCTATATTGAAAATTCCATGAATAGATAAAGTATTACTTTAAATTAATGTTGGTGTTAAAATGTTTGATTCCTGTCAATCCGTTGATGAAATATTTCACTTCACAAGTTTAGGTAGGGGAAGTGTTTAGTGGAGCACTAATAAAACTCGCGTGCCGTGTAGTCACACAAATGATACTTCTCTACTTTTCCACTACCAAAATTTAAAATTGGAATATCTCATTAACGGGTTGATGGAAATAAAAAATTTGAACACCAACATTTATTTAAAGTAATACTCCGTCTATATATATGGATATTTTGATATCTTTTAATATTATATATTTATATTATATTATAACTTAATAACAGTTCAATCATATATCCCCTCCCACCGCAGGCTGTATTTTACGACGCAGTTGACAATCATACCAACATAATAATATACATAGGCGGATAGGTACTTATTTTTTACTAGGATATATTTATTAAGGCCACATATAAATATTCTATTTTTCACGAAAGAACGGTAGAGAATCTCAACGAAAACCAGTCATTCTTACGCATCTCCACGCCGCACCTCGACCAGAGCTCCCACCATTATCGAGCCAGGTATAATTTCGATCTCGCCGTCGACGACGAAAGCGGTAGCGAGTGATTACGCGTCTGTGTTTACGTAGCGGTACAATAAAAAAACATTCGTGAAGAGTATACGCAATATTTTGTATATCTACTCAATATTTTTGAATTATTTTTTGTTTTCAATTATTTCATAATTGTGTTATAATGAATGATCATCACAAGAGAAACCTCATCTAATTCTGGCTCTTAAAATTTCTTTAATGTGTTTTTCTTTACTACCTACTGTTTTATAGGTATTTCTTTTAAGTTTTTTTGCGTATTAAAATAAAAATGTAATATAATAAATTACATTTGTATACCTTTATATATTATTTACAAATAAAATTTTAAAAAAATAAAAATATTTTCATGTTTATTTCATTTGGTAATAGGCAGTATAATATTAAGGCACATAAATATCCGCCGACGCTGGCTGTTTGCGTACCTACACTCGTATCTGACGGGCGATGGTATTACATTAGGTATAATTATCATGTCATTAATAGAGCACCCTGTGTGGTCGGCGGCAGTAGTAACCGGTCGTTCCCTGTCCAACATATCGGTGGTCCGGCAGCATTCCGTAGCTCACTCTGCGTGCGCGAAACACTACCTTTCTCTCGTGAAAAATAGTATAGGGCCTATATATGTATATAAACCAAAAATGAGAGCTTCACGCACAATACTTTTTACAATCATATCATATAATATATACTCTACACAATCCATTGTTAAAAAGACCAGGACTTGAAACCGAAATAAATATTTTTGATTTCAGTTTCAATTTCGTTTATCGATATTAGTTTTTAGTGATTCTGATTTCAATTTTATTCATTGATACCTATAAGTTTTTACTGATTTCGATTATTCAGAAAATTTTTAACAATTTTTATTGATATTCTAAATCGATTTCAAGCCCTGAAAAAAAAGGACATACTTCGCACGATAGTTGCAGTAATTATTGTTGATTAGTAATTGGAAATTTAGAGTAGGTGTCGGACAGGGGTGGCAAACCTTTTGAACACTACGTGTGAAAGAGTACCTTTTTTTTTTCGAGTGTGACTAAAAAAAATATTTTGTTATATTCAATATTGTAAGATTTGTTAATATAATGAAAAAAAAATCCCAAATATGCCACTGAAATAATTTAAAAAAATTGAAAAATTTACATATATACAGAATAATTACTTTAAAAAGCAAAGGAGGATTTTAATAAGAAATTATTGAAAATTTAAAAAAAAAATCTGTTTTTATTGTCGGGTATGATTATTGCGGTTGTTATTTTTGGAGGTTATTTATTGTACATAATACATTAATTATAAAATAAATACTTCATCTTTCTATTTAATAATAATAATCAATTGCTTCATAACATAATACTGGCCGAGACTAAAATATTAATTAAAATACAATTAATAATAATATTAACAAATTAAGTTAAATGTATAATTTGGTATTTGTCACAATAACCTTTTAATAAATTTAAATTTCCTGAAGTCGATAATGCGTAATACAGACGGTACAATAAATTATTTACTTTGGAAGAGAGTTAATTACACCAGATGTGAAGTGACGGTTTTTCATTTGGTATTTTGAGACTATGGTTAATTTTTAATTCAGTATATGTGGATGAAATTGATTTGAGAAGAAGAGTGACATGATCTGATAATGGACTTAGATTCTTTTCTAAATAGATATGTGTTGAGTGAAAAATTACTTAGGACTTTTGACTGCACTGCTAATAAATAAACGTCATACATCAAGTTTTCGACTGTGGTTTTTTAGATTGAATACCAGATTCGAAAAATTATTGCTTATCGGTATCAATTAGAGTCTTAGTACATGTTACACATTTAGGATTTGATATTGATTTATGAACAACAAATCCAGTTATGAAAACTATTGTTTCTTGAATGAAATAATTGAAGGTTGAAATATCTTACATTTTAATGTAATCACGATAATTAATAAGAGACAAGATCATGAGGAAATTCCTCATAGTCATTTAAATCAATGTCAACTATAGAACATGTATTATTTATAACCTTAATTATATCTGTATTTGAGTAAAACATCAATATGGTGTACTGGAATACAATTACCAGAATTAAAATTTAAAATATTATATATTCTTATCACAAAAAATAATTACATGTGGTATTGGCTAAACATGCAAAGTTTAATATGATTTAGATTTCTTGTCCCTGTTAAACTAGAGTACAAGTGTAATACAGTATTGAAACACAAAATAAATCCAATTAACTCATTTCGACAACTGGATTCCAATACAGGTACAAAATTATATTTTTCTTTGACATTCAAACATTTAATATATTTGTTATGACATTGGCAAACTATTTTAGTGTACTTGTCTTTGCACATAGCTTTTCTTTCTAATACAATTTGGCAATCTTAAGTTCAGGATATTACACCCAGCATTGAAAACCTCAATGAATTTGATTGTTCCGCCAGCCTACAAAAAATCATGAAGACTCCAGTTATTTTTCAAGAATTTAAAAGCATCAACTACTGACATACTGATTATCTTCATATGTAAACCCGGGCTCAACATTTATACGAAAATACCGTTTTGATAGAGTGTGTGGGTGTGAAAGTATAGTACTCAGAACTTGTCTTATAAACATAAGCCTTTTGGCATAACATCAAACTACATTTTTTTTTTTATCCAATTGATTAACAAATAACTTTGCTTACAAATAGAATTCAATAATGTGTCGATAGCTTAATCATTGATCAGATTTTCTGTCTGAAGCTTAAGAATTACAGACTTCTAAATTCTGTGCAATAATAGTATTTTGGTGTCTTGTTGTTATAGGAGTAACTTCAATCTTTTGTTTTACAATAATACATCATCTGACAACTGACAAATAACACGTTTTGGTGTCTTGTTGTTATAGGAGTAACTTCAATCTTTTGTTTTACAGTAATACATCATCTGACAACTGACAAATAACACGTTTTGAAAAAAGGCTTCTAGGAGAATGACAAGAATCAAACTCAGAAGCAATCGCAAATAAAGCAATTGAAATTTCTAAAATGTATAAGATCATATTAAAACAGGTAAATATAGATAATAAGGGTAAACAAAATCAAATTATCATGTTTAGATGTATTCATGAAATTTGAATTCCCAGATATAAGAGGCTTCACTCCATATTCATCAATATCATCTACATCAATGGTAACAGACACCTGTTTAGTATTATTCAAACAACTTGAATGTTTAGGTGTTAAAGTAGGTATTCCACATTCATTAACGCTAAAATAAATCTATAAATTAAATTGTATGTATATTATTATTAAGTAGCGTAAAATGAGACTAAAACCAATTACTTGATCTTTAAGTTGCTTGGTGGCAACAGAGATGTTTGTATTTGAATGGGTGTTCAAATCTGATGTTGATTCTCCATCAAAATAACATAATTGGTACCTATTAAAACATTGTCACTTTAGACATTTTTGTTTATTGTGATTTATTTATCAAACAGTTAACTGCTAATACAATAACCAACATATATTACCACACAAAATATAAGTTATTTTCACTTAACTATACTCACTTATGAAAACAAAATTCTTCAATTTGTGTATTCTTACGCATTGTTCTACCACAAAACGAAGCAAGTAGGCATTTTTGACTGATACCATATTTACGACGCTTTTAGCAAAAATATTCTGACAAAATAGCATAGGGTAATTACTCAATGCAAAATACTTATTAATAATTTATTATGAAGAAATCAATTACTCAAATTATGTGATAAATTGATAACTTGCAATATGATAATGATTCGCAGTGCGATCTAGTGGACAAGTCTTATAAACTACCATCTTAATGGTTTGAAATTGATTCCACAGTGATCTCTGTATTCATCTATGCTAAAAAATGCAATAAGCCATCTGTAAATTCTAAAATTCATGGTTGAGGTTTTAAACGACCGAGGTTTATAGATAATATTATTTATAAAACTTGGTAGATGTCGGGGATCGTTATCCACGTGAAACGACATCTAGTGGTTGGTAATTGGTACAAAAACGTCGGGTTCCGCACAGAAACGTTGACAACAAATACTCGCTTGTGTTCACATCCATATTCATGTACGGTATATATACGAGTGACGGATTATGACTGTCGCCGAGGTCTCGCCTGCTTCAACCGTATGGTGAAACCACATGATCTCATACTAGCCCCACGCATTGCACTCAAATGATCTCATAAAAATGGACTGATCTCTAGAATAAGACGCATATACAGCGGGAAGAATACCCCCGCTAAACTCATAGCCCACCGTGCGTTGGGTCTAAATAATCTATCTATCATCAATCAATTGGTGTTATCCCATTAATAATACTAATCTAAACCACGGTTGAAGCTCGTTAAACATCTAGACCTTGGCAACAAAATTTTGTCAAAAATTTTGTTTTATTTTATTTTTGACATGAAACATAATATTTTACACTTTTCGCGTTGAACTACTATCTTACTAATCACATTCCAAAACTTTTATTAAAAAATTAGTTGGACAGTTAGCATAGGTAAGACACCTATTCACTCTCTCGGATGACCCTACACAACGTTATCGGTATCATTCCGAAAATCGAACGCTACTCATAATTAATATTAAAGCATAAATATTTAATACGTTTTATTGTAGGAGTATTATTTAGATACTTATAAAAATAATATGTAGGGATGTTAGGTTAAACATTCGTTGTAGCCAATGCTTTTTTTTCTAATATAAATTAAAATTATTCACAAGTATTAAAATATGACGCTCCTTCATAGTACACGTCAAGATTCAACGCAATGACAACTTTTGGGAAAAACTGAAACTAGAGTTTTTTTGAAATATCTATTACCGAATGTGATAAAAGAAGAAATATTAATGACAAACTAAAAAGAAATTATTTTTAAATATCTGTAAAAACACCGATAAAGATGCACAATTCGACAATACCTAGTACATTTTATGACGGTGTAAAAGGTGGTAGCGCTACTCGTGTGGAACCTCACTCACACTAATGTTCATTTACTTCTCATACACCGACATGCCCTTTTTGTAACTGACATAAAAATTGCCTAATTCATTCTTCTTAGAATCGATCACGCAAATAAACGTTAAATTGTGAAAATGATTTTAGTGAAATATTTAAAATATAAAAATTTGTGGTTTATTCATCCATTAATGTGCATTTTTCATATGAAAATGATAATGGAATTGATAGAGACTGAAAAAATTCAATACTAGAAGTAACTTGTATTTTTGACACAATTATGAATATTCTTCAAGAAAGTTATGAATTTAAATTTATACCACATAAAGAATTATAAAGGACATTAAGAAATAATGGACAAGATACTAACTGAGAGAAATGTTTATAAAATGTTTTAAGAATATACGGATCATCTTCAGAATACCTAAAAATGTGGATTATTTGACTTCGAGGTTAGTATTTAAGTTTCCTATTAAATAGTTCAATAAAACGTTTTCAAAATATGTTAAATAATGTTAACAGATGTTCAAATTAGGAACCGGAACCTTTTGATTTTAAAGAATCCGATTTAGTTCCAGTTCTTCAGAAATAAACTAGATCGGTTATCTTACCGTTCCGTTCTTAAGAAAAAATGTTACCGGTGGAAAAATCAGTCGAACACGATTTTTCCAACGCTGTTTATGATAAATTTTTTAGATTCTTTTTTTTTTATTGCCAAACAAATTCTATAGTTTATAAATAAATTAATCAAAACTATTTTATTAAAACATTTTCAGGGATGATTAAAAGGTATATTACTCATTTTTTGTTTCAATTTGTTACCTTCAATATCTTAAAAAGGAAATGTAATGTCATTAAGAATATTTCAGAATTTTAGCGAAATTGTTAAACATATTATCTTGATATTTCATACTACAATAGTTGACAACATTATTTGATGAACTGTGTTTAAGTTTTATTTATTACCTCCGTTCATTATTTTCTTCAATAGTATTTGAATTGAAATTATATCTATGAGCTACATTATAGAAAATATTGAGCTCGAGTTAATAATTATGTTTACGCAATGGAATACAATCTCAAGTTTACAAAATATTGAATTAAAAGATGATATTTTTTTAGAATAGGAGCGATTAGAATCATGTGGTATTCAGTGTAGGCTTCCTACAAATACAAAACACAAATTTATTATTTTATATGGAAACTGTAAGATCTAAGAAATTTAATTATTTATTTTGTATAAGTAAGTAGGTAACTAAATTTTCTGCTTGTCTATTTGAACTTCTAAAAAAAATTAAAATGTCATCAACATATCTGTAATACGCTTTTATATATGGACTTTATATTTTGTTATTAAAAGTATTATTGGTTTCATAATTTTGCATGTAAATTTCAGATAAAAGAGTACTTAAAGGTCCACCCATAACAAACCCTTCTTTTTGAGAAAAAAAGTTATTATTATATTAGAAAGAGTTTGAATTAATAATTACAATTATTTATTGAATAATTTAAAGATAATTATAGAAAAAATGTTGTTACTATTGTAGTATAAAATATCACAATAATATGTTTAACAAATTTGCTAAAATTCTGAACAATAATGCAAATAATATAAAAATCGCCTTTAAGATTAATCATACTTTAATAAAACAAATAAACAATAGTATTAAACACATCACAAAAAATTCCTTTTTCTTTTGAAAATGATGATACATAAGCTTCAATTTAACTGTAATACATTTTATACATTGTAAGAACAAATTGTAATTTTAAAATAAGATATGAAAAACATTGTTCTGAGATAATATTTTAAAAATAACCATAGTATAAGCTTTGATATCAATACAGACTTAAAAATATTAAATAACCAAAATAACATTTAAATTAATTCAGTTTTAGAAGAATTACACACAATCAATGAAATAAAAAAAAAAAATTTTAATAATAATTTAAATATAAAACCGATTTTAAAAATAATATTTTACATCAATACATTTTAGATAATAAATAATAACATATTTCTTAACATATCTATGTCTAATAATAACTCATTTTAAATCTCTTCTATTAAAATAAATTGGTTCCATGTAAAATGTCCAATATTTAAATTTTATTCTCTATTTATATTTTCATATTCAGTAGTGTTTTACTTTTTGACTTTGTGATTTATCTCATGATGAAACTATTAGTAATATACACATATCTTAATACTCCAGGGAACACATTCATTTATTTTTTATTTTCATATATTTATTAATAATTATTAACCATTTAATAATTTTGTTTTTACTTTATTGTTTTATTTTTTATACAAACTTAAAAGAAATGACTGGTCTAACTTTTTTTAATAATAAGTATAATCTGTACATATCTGACTAATATGTTTTTCATTAAATAACAACAAATATAAGTAAATGCATTTACGTTTGGGATTGTCTGAAATTAACTGTACCAATTTTAATAGATTAATTTAGGACGGTTTTTTTCTGTTCATTCAAAATTAAGAAATTTTACAGACTGCAGGAACTCTACATCTAAATTACATTTAAATCTTAATTACAGTTCTCACCTGGAAAAATTTAAAATAACTTAATTTAAATTAATTTAAAATTGTACAATCTTAAAGAGTGTAAGCGACAAGTATTCTTTACATATTTCCAAGGCAAGTATCCAATTTATGGTTTGTTTTATTTGCTAATTGTCAATTCAAATTTATNTGGTCTAACTTTTTTTAATAATAAGTATAATCTGTACATATCTGACTAATATGTTTTTCATTAAATAAAAACAAATATATGTAAATGCATTTACGTTTGGGATTGTCTAAAATTAACTGTACCAATTTTAATAGATTAATTTAAGACGGTTTTTTTCTGTTCGTTCAAAATTAAGAAATTTTTCAGACTGCAGGAACTCTAAATCTAAATTACATTTAAATCTTAATTACAGTTCTCACCTGGAAAAATTTAAAATAATTTACTTTGATTTAAGGAAACCCGCAACATTTTTAATGAAGATTTTGAAATTAACCAACCATTTATAGAATGTATCCCGTTAATGATATTTGATCCATTATATTTATTAATTTTTTTATGTTTTTAAAAACTTCAGACATTTTATTTAAATTATTAATTTATGATTCAGTATTTTTATGTTCTATTGAATTCATTAAGATGTGGTGCTTCAAAATAATTGAATATCTCAAATAATTTGTCCGTATCACTGATGAAATCAATAGTAAATCGAGGAATAACCGCCAAAATACCAGACTTCAAAGTTTTAAATATACCAAAAGACACCCTATTACTAAACATTACTTTTTGAATCATAATATTGTGAAAATAATCAATATATGCTTTAGTTACTATTGAATCCTAAATGATAAAATTGTGAATAAAAAACATTTTGCGAGTAGATTTCAAAATGATGAGCTAGGTCAAAAATGCAAAAAATAATTGTTTTCCTTTTACTTCAAAATATGACTTGTTAGGAGAAACATAAAAGCTTTTAGAAAAACTTACAACATTTTTGCCCTGATCTGTAATTAAAGCTTTAATATTAAGTTTAATATTTTGGAGGTGACAAATCGTTGATATAATTATGTCTTTCAGATAAACACTAGTAGCTGTACTTGACACAATAAAATAATTAATTGTTTTTTTCCAATTTTCATTTATTCCTCTAAGAATAAATACAAGCATATTTGACTGTTTCATACTTTTTACAAAAATTTGATTCATCATCTTATAATTTTATCTAAAGTAAAATTATAATATAAATTCGTTTTAAGTCATTTCATCGGTACAATGTATGCAATCAAACGCTTTGATTTTAAAACTATTAATTTTAAATGATACAAAATTAATAAGAAAACCATTTAGACCAGGATTTATTTCGTATTTTGAAGTTACTTTACTAAGTGTACAATAAATTGTAAACTCTTGGACCTAGAAAATAATTACTTAAAGCAAATTTTATTAGAATAACTGAATCCTCAGTTGATTTCTTTCCTTATTCTTAATTTAAAATTGTACAACCTTAAAGAGTGTAAGCGACAAGTATTCTTTACATATTTCCAAGGCAAGTATCCAATTTATGGTTTGTTTTATTTGCTAATTGTCAATTCAAATTTATAATAATTTGTTTCAATTCAGCTTGAACCCTAAGTTTTGTCCTGAAGAGCAACTTTTCAGGGAGTTTTGAATGACAAATAACTTGGTGTTTATACTTGTTTTTATGTCCATTGATGTTCATGCATCGGATGCAATTTGTGAGTTTATCGATAAATGAGCAGAGGAACCTACACAAATTAAAATAAATAATTGTATACAAGTAAATTATGACCAACATGAATATTTTACATAATATAATTAATAATAATAAATGGTTATAAATATTAAAATGGAAGAAAGTTTAATTAGTTGCAACAAGAGCTAAGGAAATATGTGAAATATGAATTATTTAAACTAGAACTTATGTTCACAATAAATAAGTACTTGACAAGTTCAAAAGTAAAAATGTATAATTTATTTTTTTATCTAAACACTTAAAATCAAATTAATGATAGATGGATAATTATTGTTTGATTGTGCTATATTTCTGTATTAATGTAATATAACTAACTAACTCGATTAACATGTTACTAACATAAAACATTCTCCTACTCAAAATGAAAACAAATCAATTAAAATGTAAGTAGGTATATAAATAATAGGTACTCCTCTAAGTTGCTACCTACCGTAAAATGTCATTTGCAAAAAACTGTTATATGTTACGTATTTTACATACTAATTAATTGAAAGGCATTAAACTAAAACTCAATGTACTGCTGATGATTATCATTGTCATGTACTTTAATATTCTTAAAAATTGTTGTCATGTATTTTTTTACGTCACTCCAGAAAACTTCAAATAAATCGTTGTGTGATGTATTAACGGATCGCCATCATTCTTCTTTTGGTTGGTGGGCTAACACATTTGTCTTGCATTTATCCATTCGTCTGCAACACAATACTTAATTTGTAATACATTTAATATTTACACATTTTTTACAAAATAAATAACTATATACCGAACAGTTACACTGTTTTATCCATGATGAATAAAACTTATGATTAATTTAAGCTAACGCATTTAAAACAGTAATTTAAACATTAATTCTTGTAAATAAATATTTTATATTAAGATTACAAAATCGTTAATCAATGAAGATACCACAATAATTATTGCTCTTTTTTTGCGTTGTTTACTCAATGATAAGGAATTACTCTTGTTTATTGATAAAAACAATTATAATTGGTTCCACCTTGTGAGGTATGACTGACGGCAATTTTATGCTATACTCGTCAGCAATCGACTTTTGGTAACGAAACTTATAGATAGATAATTTATAAATAATTATTTTATTATCGATAAACCTTGCATTACGTTGCTATTTTATGTTTCGTGTATAAAAAAATTATGAAGTAGACGTCTACAATAAATTTGTATATTATTTCAATCTTGAAAATTACCTTTCTAAAAAGTAATAACCGAAATGTAAACATCGAAAACTACAAACGTAAACATCGTTGCGACAGTGTCGCTATAAGCAACATATAGTTTAAAACACAATAATATTTAATTTTTGTGGACAGCCTGATGACCTGAGTTCAAAATGGTGGATGTTTTATCGTGCGGCCGGAGTGTCCATTATGTATTAATGTTATGTGTAATGTAAATATAAATAATAATTAAACAATAAACAGATTAAATATTAAAAGTTAATTATTTATTGCGTTGTTGTTAAATTAATTTTTACGTTAGTACCTACATATTTATAATAATATTAATTTTAATAAATTCCTCTGATGGTTATTTGAAGTAAATTGTAATGTATAATAATTAAATACATATTTTCAGAAATCAAGGGACAATTATTGATCAGTATTCGGATGCAACTGTCACTATTCATCTAATGAGTATGTTAGATTTCATTGTTTACCGAATGTCACAGTCCCAAAAATGTTAGTAAAAAACAAATGAAGAACAGAACAAGTGATAAGAATTAGTTAATTGCAGAAGAATGTGAACTAATTCCATACGTTTTTCAAAAGAAGCATTATTGAAAAATTACATCAAGTATGTTTAAAACATTTTACTTCAAACGATTTATTTTCATTAAAATTGTATGTTCTTTATATACATAGAATACTGAAGTACAACATACGAACACTGTGTGTTGCATATTATACATATTTTTAATAAGTAGTATCATTAATCTTTAGTGTTTAGTTAGTAAAACTATAGAAATGTAGATAATAAATAGCTCTATCCACTTGCAATTTTTAATATTTTTAGTAATATATTATAAGTATAGAATTTAATTAATTTTTCAAGGTAAAACAACATATGTAAGACGTATGTTTCAAATCTAATGCAATCCCTTTTCGAAGTTTGTCAAAGTCATCTATATTGCGTCCTTCACTCAATAAACAAAAATATCTTAAAATATATGTTCTCTGTAAAACCAACTACTATCAAAATGAACAAAATACGAAGTGAGAGATATTTTATGATTGACATTAATTTTCATTTGAATAATTACAAATATATTATATTAGACCTATATTAGGTCTTTCGATAAAGTTCTTTTACTTTTAGTTGCATTATATACCGAAGTCAGATGTGGATAAGAGCTGTTTGGATTTTGTTTAAAAACAATACTGGAGGATTCTAATGAAAAGGATTATTTTTATACTCTGGAGTGTAACAATCAAGGCGACATAACTACTAATTAAATAATTAATGAACCCTAAGGTATATGAACATAAGTAACAAGTGGTGATATAATTATTCCATTTTTATCTTAATATACATATAGCCTACACCAAGCAAAATGAATTGCAAGAAATGCCTTAATACTGTAATTAAAGAAGACAAAATAATATGTTCTGAATGCAAAACTGTAGGCCATTATTATTGTTTTAGCCTAAATAAAAATTATGTTGCTAAAATGCCCAAGACCACAAAAAATAAATGGACTTGTAACGATTGCAAAATAAAATTGAATAAAAAAAATAATCAGCAGGTGAGTATAGAAAAAAGTAATATTGAATCATTAGCTGAATCTGTTCAATGTATATACAATAACTTAGACGAATTTAGTATAAAATCGGGGAGAATCTTAAATGAAATGAAACTACTCAAAGAACAAAACACACTACTTATCAAAAATAATGAGAAACTTATAACAGAAGTACAGTTCATAAATTCAAAAATTGACAGAATAAATCAGAAGTCATTAGATGAAGCTATTAAAGTAAAAGGGATTCCACTAACTTATAATGAAGATTGCAAATCGTTAATTAATGAACTATCGAATAAGCTAAACGTCACATGCAACATAGAAAATGCATACAGAAAAAAATCTCAGGAGAAAACGGGTGGTAAAATTATTGCTTGGCTGTCAGATAAAACTGAAAAGAAAAATTTAATATCAGCTATCAAAAGAGATAAAACAACGGCTAAACAACTTCGTGTTGAATGGCCGTCAAATAAAATTTACATAAATGAACATCTTACCATATTCAAGAGTGTATTATTGAATAAAACAAAAACAATTGCAAAGGCTATGGGTTTCGAATTTATCTGGACAGATAATGCAGATATACTTATACGCAAAAACAAACATACAAAAATCTACAGAATCCGTAATGAAATGGATTTGAAAAATTTGATTGAGATACCTGAAAATTTATAACATGTAAATAAATTTAATTCAGATATAAAGATATAACATAGATAAATGATACATTTGGAAATAAGTATTAATACTTTGAATTATGATTATATCTGATATTAACCTATTGAATTCTTTTTTAACAAATAATCATGTGTTTGTTACTTTTCTCATAAATATAGATTGATAGATAAAAATTATTAATATTAAGTAGTATTATAAACTATATTTATTGTATTGTATAATAAAAATGTTGAATTGAAAGTAGTTGTATAAACTTTGATATGGATGGATTCATTTAAAATTGTAAACAATAATTTTAATCATAATAGTGGTATGAATATTACTAATATTAAACTATTGAATTTGTTTTATTCTTCTTTCTCGTTTTATTTGTCACTTTTATAAATACTAAGCATCAAGTAAATTATATCAACAAAATCATAATTACTTAGTAGGTTATAGATTATAATAAATTTATTATTATCATTATTAACTACAAGTTTTTATAATAATGACTGTTTATTTTTATATACTCAGTATATTTTGTATAATCTGTGTTGTATTTTTTTTTTTTTTTTATGTTGTTTCGTTTGTCTTTTTATTAATCGAAAATAGTATTATTATGAAACTATTATTTAATCATATTAATAATAATTTATGTATGAACAAAGTAAGTATATTTATTAAATATAATGTATAGTTATCAGTTACAATTTAATTAAATAAATATGTAAATTTTGTTTTATTTTATTTCTTAGTTTTATTATTTATAAATATAAACATCTTTCATACTAAATTACATAAAATACTAACAAATAAATAACCAAAATGTATATAAATTTTGCAGTCTTTCGTGTTGCATAAGTCTACAAAATATAAAAATTATTTTGAATATGCATATGATATAAGAGTACAACAAATGCAAATATTTATTAAACACTATACACATATACTTATTTACGAGTATTAACCATTTTAATAATTTTGTTTTCAGTTTATTGTTTTATTATTTAAAGTACATCATAAAAAATGACTCTATCTATAAATCCCACCTTTAAATATTTTTATTAAAACTTGTTGAATACAAATCTCTTGCAATGTTTTCATATTCTAAAACATATTTCTCATACTTATTTAAGAATAGTTTTGGCCAAAAATATTGAACAGGCTTTCAGTCCATCAGTTTTCAAAGTTTTGTTAAAGATTTACAGGTCATAGAATTGTTTCCTGTGATTCGAAACTACCGGCAATGGCTCCAAAAAGTTTTGTATCTTTGTAATTGATATAATACATTTAAAATAAATACACCTAATCATATCTACTGCATCATCTACAGAATTTTAATTAATATTATTTTTCTTATAGCGGCCAAATATATCGATTAGTAAATCTTTATAATATGCTAATGTAGAATCCCCTAATTTTGACCACTGCCATATTATGTCAGTCGAAGACATATTTCCAAATTAGCAACTGAATTTTTGAATTTAACAATAGTAAGTAAATTTTAACTTTATATTGTTGAATTTCATTTAAAATAAAATAGTTTTGATATTTTATATTTGAGACAAATAAATTATAATATTTATATGAAACGCTGTAATTAAAGCTGGTTTGTACAAATTACATTTAATGGATTATCATTTTTTAAGTAAGTATGTATTATGTAAATATAGTTAACATTAAGATAGTACCTAAATCCATAAATTTATTATAAATTTATGGACTTATGTATTAACCAATGAGATTGAAGTTATATGAAATCCGCAATACCGGATATAAACATCAATCTACAATCTATCAAAGAATTAAATACTAAGATATTGACTTTGCTCATAAAGGTAAATTTTGTTAATGTTTTTTAGAAAAATAAATAACCCATACAATTGTAATCAATAACTCGTTAGGACAATTAAGTATAAGCATTGATAAACATTAGGTAATATCATTAATTTTTATGTTAATAGACATTGTTTATATTTTGAAAAGATTTATTTATAATTAATTAATTTTTTTTTTTCATTTCAATATTAACTTTTTGTTTAAAAAAGTTGAATAATTGCATCTAAATTATAATAACAATAAATTAAATGATATTGGTAAGATATTCAAAACATTAGATATTTAGTGCCAGTATAACTCATCATGACTGACAGTGTACCGCAACACCACAGAAATGAACAACTTTCACCAAATTTTAATACACCAGAAAGAGCCTCTTTAATAAAAATAATATTATTAATAAAATGTTGTATTTTAAGGTAGTTAGCAATTATGAACAAATTGAATATGTTTTGCAAATTTAACAAAAAATTATTAATAGCAAAAACTAGTTATTACGCAATTCAACGAATTGCGTACAATTTAATATGTTCAGCATAAAGCTGTTTTTAGTATATTCATTCTATAATTTTTTTAAATAAATGTATAGACATACTGAACAGTTCAATGTTTAATTATAAGTGGTATTTCACAGATCCATAATACACACAAGTGTTACATGAAAAAAAGTTTGATAAGCTCAGGTTAAAGTAAAAATTAATGCATCCACACATCATGGATACACATCTTATTGTGGTTTAGAATGTAAAACAAATAAATATTGTCTACTCTGTCATCCATTCCACAAAAATACAATACTTGGAAAATAATATCATCAACTAAAAGAAAATTGTAATATTTATTATTAATGAAATAAGTTTCAAAATGGAATAACTAAGGACCATTTTATGTTTTGCAGATAAAATGTTCAACCAAACATTTATTTGAAGATTACATCTTAATATTTAAATTATATACTTGGCGTAGTAGTTGCTTATTTACCATAAAAATGTAATTGGCCGCAATGCTAATGCTGATAGTGCCTATAATAGGACCAAATTTCTAGGACTTCTTATATATGATCAATGCACCTATGTTGGTCAGGAAGACCATCACTATCGCGACGAATCTCCCCAAATTGATGAGCAAAAGCTGCACAAGTAGGAAATATCAGTGTTACAGAGATAACAGATTTATATGTAGGATAAAGATACCAATGTATCAATATGGCAGTTTCAAGTTTACCAATAAAACATTATACAATTCTAAAGATAAAGCTATGTACAGCTTAAAATGCAATGTTAATTTCAATCAAAATTAATTATATTATACTTATAAGAAAAAAAATCATTAATGTATGCCATAAATAAATGTTTATAATTTTGTGTTATTGTTAATTGATTAATTATTATTAGTTCTGTCGTGTAAACTCCCAAAATGTATGATTTCTTATATAGGTACTAGTAGCATTCACTGGTGTCTTTATCCTATGTATGAGGTTAACGCTTACTGGACTATCTTCCCCTAAGTTTCCGTCTATAACCATTCCGATTTTTCTAAATATGCATGTTAACAAACCGCATACCCCAGCAAAAGTGGCGTATGTGACACTCTTTACCCGGAGCTGGTCCATGCCAGAGCCATTATCGGAACATGAACACGGGAGTTAGCTGTATTCTGTGGGTACATGCAATTCTGTTATGAATGATGCGACGATAATGTCTCCATAGTCTATTGAGTTACAAATGCTACGATTGATTATCTTTAATTTACGGACGTCCCGCAAGTCGCAGTTACAGCGTTCATCCTCCTCCTCCTGCAAAAAATCGTTATCATACAACTTATTGAAATCCATAGATACACCATACATATATAAATAAGTACTAGATGACGAGCATAGTTTTTGTATACTCAATCAATGTAACGGTGACCGTTAGCTGGTAACAGACTGTTATTAAAAGTGTTCAATGACGCTATTTAGTTGTATTTGTATTTTATGTAATATTTTGTTGCACAGATATAATTCATAGATATTTCTTAACATGTCTATGTTAAGACCGCTAAAATTATCAAAATAGATAAATAACATCAAAACATAAAAATATGCAACAGAAAATGTTGTATTTGACTTCCTGGTTATCTGAAACAAATTTGTAACTTACTTAAGTGTTACTAAAACTTTTCGAAACAAATATGTAAATGCTACATGCCATGAGCCATGAATATTACATTATCAGCATACGTACGTGTATCAGTATGCATACGTTAATTAATTATTGTTATTGGTGTTAAATGTTTTTAACCTTACCTAACCTTGATAATTTTCATTCCATCCTTGATAATAAAAATGCAAATTTTTTTTGTATTTTGACCTATAGTTAATAATCTTTTTTAGTTTTCACACATTTGTAGTCAAATATGTAATTGTATTTTGATCTCGCATTGCCATTATAAAAGGAACAAATCGTCATTTCCAAATTCACGTATAAAAATTTTTGATATAGTTAAAGGTTTTTTCTTCTGAACTCGAGTATTCTATTATTAAATATTTATTGCCTATGGCAATTCTACTTTGAATCACATTTAAATTGTTTAATTATTCGTTACTCTATTAAGTATAATATTACTTAAAAACGTATTTACTATTTCATATTACCTGTAAATCAACATGCATGGGTTGACTATTTATTATTTTTGAATTTTCTAATTCTAATGAACCTGTACTTAGATTATCTTGTAGTATCTATGGATCAGTTTATAAAAATAAACTGTTAAAAGTAGATTTGATACTATTCTTTTTGAGTGAATGTTTTTTTAATGTAAAGTTGTGTTTGAACTTAATTTCAAATTCATCACAATTAAAGTTCTGTAAAGATTTAAGATATTATAACATTTAGCCCATTAATACTAAGATTTTGACTCTTTAAAATTTAATATATTTATTTCATTTATATTATAATATTTAATGCTTCATATTAAAGACTATTTAATTAATTCAAATAAATATTCACAATCTGTATGGTAAACATTAATTACAACAGAATACCAGGATAGCAAAAATAAATATACAGGCTGTCCCACGAAGGTATTCAAGGAGTATATCTTCTTGGGACAGCCTGTACTATAACAAAAATATATTAAATATTCATTCACATATTACTACATAACAGCGTTGTCTTAACGACAAGGCACATACA